GGGCTAACACTGTGTTTTGTTAGTTCCTGTAGTTAAGAGAAGATGTGAATGGGGAGAGAAAGCATTTGTGTGGTCCATGTAAGGAGAGCTTTTGATGGACTGAATGTTTTTATGTCAGATATGTAACTATATTGTACTTTTATTTATAGGAGATATTCTCAAGTAGTTTAGAAAAGTCCAGGGAATCATTGGCACAAGTGTTCACAGCACTCAGGGTCTCAGGCCAGCGAAGTACAGAGGATCTGTCTGAGACATCCTTCTGCACTCTTGAGTGTTTGCTTTCTTTCACGTTTGGGCTTGCTTTGTTATTATAAATTGACATCGTTGTAATTAAAGTGATTAATGACGTGCCCTAGTATTTATGGGTCCTAAGGTCAGGAGGTCCAAAGATGGCCATGCTGTGGGAAATTTAGAGCTCACTTTATAGAAGACGAACCAGACCCCTCATCCTTTCTGCATGGCTGTTTTTGAGTTAAATGTTAGATTGGATTGAAAAAGTTTCCTAGTTATCAAAAATAATATAAATTAATCTTTATCTACATAGTTCTGTTGCCTAATTCCTTGTTCTTATACACTCTCATGAAATTTTACTGGCTACTTTGTTAAATAAGAAATACATGCTTTTGTAACGCAGTGTTAGAAAATGCACTAGTTAAAAACATGGTTTCACGGTAACTTCAGTCATTGGATGTACAGAGTTGCAGTTTTGCCTGAATCTTTTGGCGCTAATCCATGATAGAGCCATTGCTAACTTATAGTCACTCTTTTATATTCTTCATTCTAACTAGGACATCACAATTCTAGTTTTTTATAGGTTCGTTAGAACTGCAAAGTCCTTTCAACGGTTAAGCTGGAAGCTCTGAGACTGTTTATACCTATTCGGGGATATTTGTTTCAGACACTGCTTTAAAAACAAACAAACAAACAAAAACCAAGAAAGCAAGCAACGTTGAAAAGCTTGTTCTAGCCACAGAGACAGCTTTGTTCTTTGCATTCTATATTCTGGGGATAGTACTGAGCTAAGGCACTGGTATCTCACCATGCAGACTTACTGTTGTCAGGGCTTCCCACTAAGGAGAGAGAACAATCAGCCAATTGTTGGGCCATGGCACTGTGCCATTGCCAGGACCTCAGCAGACGAAACTCACCCTGCACAGGAGTGACTCTGGATCCCTGCTGTCCGAAGGGAGAGCCAGTATTTTATGGTATTTTTTTAATCCTTATACTATAGTTTTTAAATATTCATTTTTAAAAATGTCTTAAATTTACTCTTTTTCAGGCAATCTGTGACATTGCTAAAAGAGAAAATGTTTACTGTTTGTCCAACTTAAAGATAATTATAACAGATTTTAATTTGGGCAAATGCTTTTCCATACTTATATGTTAGGGCTTTCTTCACAGAGAGTAATGAATACATATATTCATTTATATGTATATATGATAATGGAAATAGAATTTTCTTCTTTAAACATGGTCAAATTATTCTTTGACTGAGTATATACTGAGTATCTTACTAAACACAAAGTTCAAGAGAGTGTCATTGAGACAAGAAAGATAATTCATATAAGCAAAAATGTTTAGATTATGCATTGCAAAGTTTTACAATTGTAAACTGTAATATTTCTTTCCCTTAATTTTATCTACTACTCCTTGGAGACTTAAGTAAACATTTCAGACATTGCAAAGATCTGTTCATTCTTTAAATATTCATTTTAAATGATGTTTCCCAAGCCCCACCCTCAACTCTACTCTTGAGAACTATTCCTAAATAACAAGCTGTCTTTCAAATATGTACAGACAATCCATATTATTTTCCTTAGTATTTAAAGGCTTGTGATTGAGACAAGGTATAACTTGGACCTTCATGTTTTCCATATAGCTTTCATAGTAGAATTCTTTTTTAGAATTTTACAAGGTAGAATCTATGAAATAAGCTTTGAGAAAGTTTTCCTTATTATAAAAAAAATACATATTCATTGTATAAATTAGGGAAGAAGCACACAAAAGAGAAGAAATAAGTATCATTTAAAGAGAACCTTTCCTAAAATGTTGGTAATAATTTTGGTGTTTTTTAGGTACATCAATAATATTTTAGGAAGCATTTTATCATACAGTGCCAAAATGAAAAATAGTTTTGAGAAGGATTTTGAAGGTTAAAAAGGAAACCTTATTGACCTAACTTACAAATTTACTTCAAAAAGCAAAGTAGAACATATTAACATAACCATTTTAACAGAATATTTCAAACTTTTGCTGAAATTGTGAATTTCAATAAATATTTAGAGATGTCATATGATACTAATGGCATATAAGAAACCTTTTCTTTCACAATTTAATGACTCTATGGTCTATTTGGTGGTTAGTGTTTAAAACAAGGGAGCTGATTTTTATTGCATTTGTGGTATATCAGCAGTTCCATTTGACATTTAATTATAAGCCAATCTGTTTTTCTACTCGGAAGGATATTTGTATAATGACCCACCCTGGGATTTTGCAGGCATGTTGCCATTCTTCCTGAAATGCTTATCTATTTCTTGTGAAACTCTGTCAGAAGGCAAATGGGGTGTGTTCAGATTTAATTTTTTTCTGTAAGTTAAATTTTTTCAAATACTGTGTTTATAGAACTTTCAATTAATAATGTTTGTCAACATTCATTCTGGACATCGTAAATTGTGGAGACAACAAAATCAGAGAAAATACAGTTCTGGGCCTTTGTCAATGTTAACATTACTTAAATTAGAGGGCACACTAGAACAAATTAGATTTGTTTTCATACATAGAGGTTGTATGTATTTATCTTGAGTGCAGCAAGATTTTTGCTTGCTTATTATGTTGCTGAGGATTGGATCCAGGGCCTTGTTCATGGTGGGCAAGCTGAACTACGCGCCAGCCACATAGCATGACCTTTATTTACAAATTACTTTGCTAGCCATGCTCCATGTATCTTAAGACATCCAGATGAAGAAGGATATTGGCTTCTCAGTCTTGGCAACCTTTCAGTAATGTCATGGGAGGTTTTAATGAGTAGATCCTTTGCGATTAAATTGGATTGTGAAATTCCAAGGAAAGGAAGATTCCACTGCTCTGCGCTTGAACTTGCCCTTTGTTATAATAACCCTGCAAGCTAAAGAGAATTCGTTTGAGAGAACACATGGAAAGTTATGCAGCGGTACAGGGTATAACCTGTACTATAGCAGCTGAGTGTTAGTACCCACTGTGGCCTTTCGTTAGGCTAGCTGACTATTTTGTTGGTGCCTGTTGTAGCTAAATTAGTTGTTCCTGGAAAATTCAGCTACTGCTAAAATGTTGATCAAAGTTCATTACTAGAATATGTTTATTTAGAGGTCCACTTTTCTAGGTTATTTGTGATCTGTTGTTTATTTAAATAAAGCAACCTCATGTTTTATATAATAAAATTATCAATTAATATTTACCTACTATTTTTACATTCTTGGAATTCTACCTTGATGTTTTTATCCTCTGGCTGGTATAATATGAGAGGAATTAGATTGCTTCTGGTATATTAAATAACATGCAGTAGGGAGACAGAGGAGGAGTTGGAGGGGAGAGAAGGGAGGTCAGTTTGGTCAAAATACATTATATGCATGTATAGAATTCTCAATTCTTTAAAAAGTAAATACCCTTTTAAATAAAGTATCAGTAGCTTTCTCAATTGTTAATAAATACAGCTATCATAGTATAAAATATAACAACATGAGGCTGAGCTCTAATCCTAAGCAATTTACTTGAACTTTGAAGCTCCTGTTTTGAAAGGTGAAGATAATGATAGTTTTATTTTATAAGAGATACTTGCTCAAAACCAATTATTGTTATGGTTTAGTCCACCATACCAAAAGGCATATGGTGCAAAATAAGAACAGATTGAAAATAGCAATCCACTTGAACTATAAATAGCTGTCACATGCCTGGGATTTTGTCAGACTTTCTTTACTTGCACATTCATTGCTGGTCACATATTACCTGCCAGATGCTGCAAAAACAATATGGATTAAAAACAGGACATGGTCATTGCTTTCACTGAAAGGAACCTGGTGAATTAATTAAATTTATTCTTTAATGTAATAGTTACTTTTCTCCTTGTGGCACAACATCCTGGCAAAACCACATCGGGAAGGAAGGGTTTATTCTAGCTCACAGTTGGAGGGTATGGCCCGTCATAATGGGGAAGTATGGTGGCAGGGGCTTGAAGCAGCTGGGCACATTGCATCTATCCAGGAGTAACAGGTGATGATTTCCCTACACTTGGCTCACTTATTCAGTCTAGGACTTCTGCCCATGGGATGATGCTTCCCATAATTATGATGTCTCTCCTTCCTCTCAATTATCCTAAGCTAGATAATCTCTCACAGACATGCTCAGAGGCATGTCTCCTAGCGAATTCTAGATTCTGTCAAGTTGAAAGTTGATGTTAAGCATCAGCATATAGCAAATACATCAACTTGTTGAAGTGATTAAGAATATGAATATTAGTAAATTACTTAATAAGGGACTTAGTTCAACCTGAATATAATTGTTAACCTTTAGAAAGAGGCCTAGCACTGGTAGATATGCTCATGAATGTTAGAATAGGCAGCTACTACTGGAATTCAAGATTCAGGCTGGGTTATTGAAGAACTGCCCAAGGATCAGGAAGTCATGCTACTTTCCCTTTTAATATGGGGATTGCCTTACCCTAAGAATGAAGGGCATGGGTATATTAACAAGCAGGATTGCTGCTTTGTCTCCTCATTTGAACTTGTAGGGTAGAAAGACTGAAGAAAGACAGTAAGTAGTATGTGAGATTATTGGGTCTGGTGGCATTTGACTTCTAATTACATGAACTAATGAGAAAATTGTGAATGATGAAAACTGTGAATTATAAAGGTATTGATTCTGATCATTTAATATCTTAAAGTGTATAAGTAGTAAAATTCTATTGATGACATTTCTAAATTGCCAGAGGTTTATGGCTCATGTTTTTTTTCTTCTTTCTCCCCCAGAGCATCTGCTGCAGCCAAGCCTGAGCCCGTTGCTGTCCAGAAGGTTTGTATATAGTTCAGCATCACTAGGCTCAGTCTGACTTGAGCCACTGTTCTTGCTGTTTTTATCTTGGGTCATATCAATGTTCGGTTTATAGTCTCGGCACAGTTTTACTCATTTTTTTTTTTCCCTTAAAAGACAAAGAGGAAAGTAGACTCCAGAACTTAAGTTACTGTAACAGAGTTCCCTAGAGGAACAGAACTGATGGAACAGATCCATATGTATATGTATAGAAAGTGGATTTATTAGAATGTTTACAGAGTGTAGTCCTAGTCCAGCTTGTCCAGCAATGGCTGTCTACCGGCAGTACATCCAGGTATCCAGTAGTTGCTCGATTCATGAAGCTAGATATCTCAGCTGGTCTTTAGTATGCGCTGGAATCTGGAAGAAATATGCTGTAATGCCAGTGAAGGAATAAACTTTCCAGACAGGCAAGAGCAAGCAGGCAAAGAGAGAAAACTTCCTTCTTCAGTGTCCTTTGAACCAGCAGAAGGCATGGCCCAGATTAAAGGTGGATCTTTCCACCTCAAAAAATCTGGATTAAAAGTGGTTCTGTTTGGGTTTTAGCTAATCCCAGATGTTGTGAAATTGACAACCAAGAATAGCCATCATAGTTACCATTTGTAATAATACTATAAAACATTATTTCTAAGCCCCTACGGTGTCAATAATGCATGTCCAAATTCCTTTCATATTTACTTTTTCTATATTTACACATATATTTTCTAAAAAGCTAGTAAGTAGCTACCCAAAATGAAGATCATGCCATTCTAGAATGTTCTTGAATTAGGTTATTGGCAAACGCCCCATTTTTCATTATACATCTCACATTACCGCAAACCAGTGTTTATAATCATCTGATTTATTCTCATTGAAGTTTTTCTCCCTCATTTTTTGGGCAGTATATTCAGTTACTCATTCAATTTACTTGTTTCAGCCCTAACTTACTTTTCTCAATTAATGAAAACTTACAAGGTTTATATTGCCTTTTTTTTCTCTTGCATTTGAGTTACCAGTATGTATTTCCTTTAAAGATCTGATTTTCTTCTCAGATGGTAGAATAAAAGTTTTTTTTTCAGTGCTGTAGAAATATATTTCATTTTAAAGGAGAAAGCTTTGAATATGTGTCCAGGTAAAGGTTTACCAACACTGGTGATTTTTTAGAAGGAATTTGTCTTCTTACTAGTCTTTGACTTCTGGCAAATATATAATGTCATGTTTTTCCTCATGAGACTTAAATATTTTATTTTGGAAAAAGGGAAATAATTTTATTTTAGTTGTGAATAATATCTTAATGCACCCAGGAATGGAAACAAAAATGGATTATAGGAGAAATGCAGGATAATTATGTTTTGTTCATCTGTTTCACATTTTTTCCCCCAAATTCTTTAACCATAATAGTTGTATAACACATACTTTGAGTTTGGTGAATTACTCATCCTTTTTTTAATTGAAGAATTTAAAACTTGGAGATTTTCATGACTTAAGTAATTATACAGTGGAGAGAAAGAAAATAATGTTAGAAATATGGAATTATAATTGAAGCTTTAGGTATTTTAAAAATAAGATGTTTCAGTTAGTATTATGTTTATGTGTATTTAATTATTCCTTTAAAATTTATCTAAGTTGACATTTGATGATGGTCTTTAGGGTTTTTTTTCCCTTTTCTACATAAATGAAAATGTGTTATGCATTAGTGTTATGCATGTTGAGATCAGTTAGCATGCATGCTGTGCTGTATCAACTCATTGTTTTTCCTGAAAACGTATTTGGGCTGCTAACGTAATTGTGTTTGTCTTTTTAAAATCCACTGTGTGTTTGTTTGCACTCCATGTGTTTTGCATGTCTTTGCTGTGGTTTGTATGTGTTTATTTTTATTTTGCATAGGGTGAACCGAAAGAAGTAGTTAAACCTGTGCCCATTACATCTCCTGCTGTATCCAAAGTCACTTCCACAGCCAACATGGCCTACAATAAAGCACCACGGCCCTTTGGTTCTGTGTCTTCACCCAAAGTCACATCCATCCCATCACCATCGTCTGCCTTCACCCCAGCCCATGCCACCACCTCATCACATGCTCCCCCTCCACCCGGGGCCGCTGTCACTCCTCCCCCATTCTCTGCATCCGGACTGCATGTTAATGCCACTCTTAGTGCTGACCAGTGTTCATCTGCACCGAACACTGGTAAATCTGCAGTTAATGTCCCACGGCAGCCCACAGTCACCAGCGTGTGTTCCGAGCCTGCTCAGGAGCTAGCAGAGGGACAGAGAAGAGGATCCCAGGGTGACATTAAACAGCAAAATGGGTAGGTGGCCAAGGGTGGTTTCTGCTCTTTCAGATAATTTCCAGGAAACAATCTACTTTTTCTTCAGCTGTTCTTTGAAGAAAGATGAAGTTATACTTCTTGTGCTAACAGTGACCTTTATTTATTTACAAAGTACTTGTACAAAGCAGTTAGAAGTTAATCAGAACTTAATTATGCATTTTGATGTGTTCAGAGCCTGCAACATATTCTGAACGTTTCCCTCCAAGTTCCTGCACAGTGTTGAACAGCTGGCACTTATAATGCAAGGCAGATCTATCCCCAAAATTTCCATCCTTTTCTTGGTCTCCAAAGGTTTAGGCAGTGATTGTAATTGTTCTCAGCATGCATATACCTTCTTGAAGAGAGAGGACATGAGTTTGTAACAATCTCTCTCCTCTGGGAAGCAGTCTAGAAAGCTGAAAACAAGTCTGCTTCTGACTCACATCTCTGTATAAGTTATTAGCTCAAAGCAGATAGCTAACATTCTTTTTAGGTATATTTTATCAGGAATTTATTCTTCAAATGCAAATCGGTAATTTTAAAAAATGAGCAATGTTCAGTACCAGAAGCAATATATAGATTTTTTTTAAGATGAATGCATTTAAACTATAGAGGATGTTAAGTAATAGTAACAATTTTTGGAAATTAAGTTGCAATTTTTTGTTTGGGCATTGCATTTTTAAAAATGTGTTAAACATACTAAATTATTTGAAGCCCCAAGTTTTAAGGTTGCACATGTGTTTTTGAAGTCTTTATTTCTAGGTAGCTAATTTGGGTCTTTTACAATTCAGTGAAGCTATTTGGAGGCGAAGTGATCTGCATACAATTTTAGTTGGATTCATTGTGATAAAGGTACTTTTTAAGGGAAATACTATGTACATGTGCTGGGCTTCGTGGATGCAAGTCTCCAGGAAATTTATAATTAAAATAATTGTGTAGATAGGCCCATTCTGAGAGATCTAACCCCTCTGGAATGTTAACTCACTTAATGAAGAGGATGTGCTTGCTGTGGAGTTGTTGCTATGGCAGCACCTGGGCTCTGAAAGAGGAGGTGGCACAGCTCCAGGCTGCTGCTGAGGGAGCAAGGAAGGTTACTGGGCTGTGCATCTGTGGCTCTGTGCTTGTGGGTAGCTTTTTTCAAGTATTGATATAGACATCGAAGTCAGTTAGTGCCCTTCTCAGAATGTTATGTCTTCTCTGGTCAAAGGCAAAGAATATGTATATGTTTGGTTATATTTATTCTTGTATGTCTGTTTTATGACAATAGATGCTAGAGTCATCAAACTAGGTAACCAGAAGAAGGTGATGTTGCCTGTCAAATGCTGAAGCAGAAGTTTACTGTGTTTATAAAATTCTAGCTTGAGTAGATAGAAAGTCCACTGGAGGTAGTCATGTCTTAACTAAAACCTTTTAATCTTTCTGGAAATTTTATAATAAAGTCTTTTTGAAGTAAAAGCAAAGTGAAGTTATGGAAAAGTCTTGAGTTTACAAAAAGTTTCAATTTGTGCGTGGGAAACATTCCTTTGGTAATTAGACTTGAAAGATGGCGAGCTTATTTCAGGCCAAAGTGACAGTGCTGTAGTTGCAGGGCCTTGGTGGCAGCTTCCTAATGAGTAGGCAAGTACTCACCAAGCACATGCCTGGTGTTCAGCACAGCGCAAAACTGAGGATAAAAGGGATTATTACATGTTTTGCATCATTAACAAGCAAGCTACTGCTTTGCATTTGCAAACTGAGAGTGTATAAAAATAGCTTGCTTTCAAATGCTGTCCAGATGTTAGGACAGTGAGAACACAGTTTGGTGCATTTGACATTCTAAGGCGACTCTGTAGTGTTCCTTTTGTTAATGCATTTAGACTGGAGAAGTAAAAAGTCACAAACTTGACTAGTCAGCAGTGTGTCTTCCTTAGTGTTTTGTGGCATTGATGTACACTTTCTCCACATTAGGTGTCAACCTGTTTCTGTTAGATGTGTGACTGGTTGACTTCCCAGATTTTTATGATGTCAGTAAAACAAAACTCTCGTAAAGTTGGGAGTGATTGCTCTGTACTAATTACTTTTAAAATAGCACCCACCAATGACCAAATGTTTAGAAGTTCAAAGGGATACAAAAGTAAATGGCCAAGTTGTCTTTTCCTCAAAGCATCAGAACTGTTATTTTTTAAGTGATGAGAAATGGTTGGCTAATTTGCCAGCTTTATAGGTATCCCACCTAAATTTGTGTTGAATCAATAAACAGGAGACACAAACAAATGCTTAGTGGGTGAAAATAATAGGATATGAACTAGCTCTTTCCCTTATAGTAAGAAGTCTGGCTAGGGTATTGGTAGTTTTGAGAGTAACTGTTAGCACTGTATAAGCATCCTTTTCTTGTAACTAGTAATGATAAGGCACTTTTAAGAAATTTCAGTCTTTCTTCTACATATAAATTATTGTTCTTGGCATGCCCTTCTCTCTGCTACCCCCTTACTCCATGAAGAACAGAACAGGGTTTTATATTCCTGACTGGGAGCAAGCTGTTTTACATGAACTAGATGGACTGGTTTGCATTTCACTGTCCACATGCCTTGCATTATAATGTGCCACTGTTCTCAGGAGGTAAGGCTTTTGTGTATCCTATATTTCAGTTTCTTTGGCTGCAACTACTAACAGTTCGTATGTGGTGCTTCAGAGGATCTGGCCTTGAAAGATGCGAAAGTTAATGATATAATCAAATAATGGTTTAAAATGCTTTTCTCTTTACAGAAAACACACGTGACAAAGTTAGTATCTGCATTACTGGAGAGGAGATATGGTGATTTATATATGAGTAAACAGCATGACTGCTCAGTTTTTGCAAAATTAATTAAATTTTGCAAAAGAATTGTAATTTAGAAAAAACCAGTTTCCAATAAGTTTGGTTTGCATTGGTATGTTATAGTGAATTGCTTTATAGTAATAAGTAGTATTGTTTAAGTTATAAGAGATGTGTGGGTTTGCTGTGCAGTGGCTGAAAAAGAAAATGCTTGGGGGAATTCATTCTAATTAGTTAAGAGTGTTACAAGACAAAAATAAGAAACTATAAAAATTTGTACCAATAGTAAATAATATATACAAAACTGAATTATTTCCAAATTGACATCAAAAGCCAATAATTTCTTGATAAAATTCTCTAAGACCTTTTTGATTTTCCTGGAGAATTAAATCACCTCCTCCCCATCCTAGCCCCCATCCACACCACAGAAGGACTACCTTGGGTAGTCCACAAAGTCTGGCATACCAAGCTGAGGAAGGGCCTAGCCCCTCCCCCCTGCATCAAAGCTGAGCAAGGTATCCCACCATAGGGAATGGGCTCCAGAAAACTAGTTCATGTATTCTGGATTAGTCCTGGTCCCATTGCCAGGGAACCCTCAAACAGATGAAGCCACATAACTGTCACCCACATTCAGAGGACCTAGTTTAGTCCCATGCAGGTTCCCCAGCTGTCAGTCCAGAGTCCTTGAGCTCCCACTAGCTCATGTCAGCTGTCTCTGTGGTTCCCCATCATGATCTTGACACCCACCCCCACCCCCGCTCATATAATCCTTCCTCCCTTTCTTCAGCTGATCTCCAAGAGCTTAGCCCAGTGCTTGGATGTGGATTTCTGCATCTGCTTCCATCAATTACTGGATGTTGGTTTCTTTCTAATTTACTGTAATCAATTGATTGACCTGAGCACACTGATAAAACACTCAGACACTGTGAGTTACTGTCTATTTAAAATAAACTTATTATATATAAAAATTGTCTAGCTAGTAGGTTCTAGTCTAGAACATAATTTGTTTGTAAAAAGGAAAACATGCCACTTGAAATAAAAAAAAGACAATTGAAACATTTATATTAAATAGATAGCTTCAAAGTTCAAAATTCAGATCCATTAAGTTAGTGGGTATTATTACTCTGCATTTTACTGTGCTTCTACATATATGACAACCACCTAATTCTCATTCAGCTGAGTGACCAGGAATATATTTTCTTGTTATGCTTCTTGTACGGGAGCCAAGATTTGATCCCAAGCCAAATATGAATGTGTCTTCCATATGTCACCTGTTGTCACTTGAATGTCTTTCTATCATTTTGATTTGGTATCTGTTTGTAGAGACTACAGACTCAAGTTGTGACTCTGCAACTGAATTAATATGCATAGGCTGTACTTTGAAAGCACTGTTCTTGAGTAGTCATGGAATATTTCCCCCTACCAACTAGTATTTGAATAGCTTTCAGATACTTTCAATATAAGCCCTAAAGGACAGAAATACGCAACCCATTTTACCGTTGAGGAAAAGGAACCTCTTATACTTTGCCTATGACATGGGAAATGGGCATCTTAGCTAGTACAGGTTATCTGGCTATCACATTGACATTGCTATATATGAAGCTTATCTATTTGAGCATTATTTTCTAAAATACGTGAAAATATTTGTTGATTATATTCTACTTAATTTCTTTAGGTTGAAGTCAACTATCTGCTTATACCCTTCAACACAGAACATTGTCTGCACAATTTCATGTTAACACAAAACTTTTCCCCTCAACTTTTAAACTGTTGGAGTGTACATCTACAATTGTATATAAGAGATTATGTTGCAAAGCAATATTCCTGCAAGGTGGGATAGGAAATGCTTTACACCAGTGTTTCTCAACGTGGCAATCAAGTGGCCTTTTCATAGGTCATAGGACCCTTTCTTAAGACCATCAGAAAATACAGATATTTACATTATGATTCATAACAGCAAAATTGCAGTTATAAAGTAGCAACAAAAATAATTTTATGGTTGGGGGTCACCACAACATGAGGTATTAAACAATATTAAAGGGTCACAGCATTAGGAAAGGTGAGAACCATTGCTTCTAATATGAGAGAAGGGTGAATACCTCCTTAGTGTATCCCTCTGAGCCCTCTGTTATGTTTGTGCTGACGTCAACATGTAGGAGTACCACAGCTCTAATTCAGTTTTCACATTAGAACTGGTGGGCAGTTTTTCTTACTTTGTTTATAATGAATTTCTACTCTAAGTTTAGTTGCAGAGTCGAAGAATCAACATGTTCTTTGACAAAACAATATAGAATTTATACTTGATTCTCTATCTAGAGTGGAACACAGATGTATTTGTTTTTAATAATTCTGCCCATGTTAGGCTATGTGAATGAATTGTGTCTTAAAGTTCCCCTTCTTCCTGTGTGATTCACTGAGTTCTTTTACCATATCAAATGAGACAGACCTTTCTGAGCAATAAGTATATCCCCAGTAATACAGAGCTCTGTAGTTCTCACACTCTACTTCTAAGGTTCCTGGGGCTTCTGCTTGAGGGTGGTGCTCGTGAGTAGAAGGGAGGAATGTGAACACTGATAGAGAGCCCACTATTCCTAGTCTGCTGTGCTTTCTACACTTGCATCAGCCACTACGTTTAAAAAAGAAAATTCAGTGTAACAGCCTCTTATGTGATGAGATTATAGTTGCTATTAATTTATACTTGTATAATATGAGACTGAACAGTTTCTTTTCTGATGTTAAAATGCATCCTAAATTGATTTCTAAGTGATATATCAGATTATACTTTATTATGTGCCTTTGTAGAAAAATAAGAGTTTGATTCATACTAAAATAACTTTTCCAAAATCCTAGGCATTAAAAAAATACACGGTTCTTTCTTGGTATTCAGGAACTTAGGACTTGAACTAAGGTTTATACATAAGGTTGTCAGTGTTTTGTGGGATAAGCACAGCTGTCCAACTGTTGTCCTCAGAGTAGCAAGGCAGCAGAGTTTTGACTAACATTTCGCCTACTTGTCTGTGCCCCTGTGATTATTTTGAAGCATGGTGTTCATGTGCCATCTCTTAAACTGTTTGGGGTCTGCTGTTTCTTTCTTTCTTTTCTTTTTTTTTAAATTCTTTTTCTCCTCCTTTTTGTTTCCCCTCTCCGCTGTCCCTGATTTCCGTCATCCTGGGAACCTCCATGTCTTCTCTATCACATCTTTCCTGTATGTATTATTCCTCTCCAGTAACCCTGGCACTGTGTAAGTACTTAACTAATGCTTTGTCTTATAATTTCCATCATTCTCTCTCTCTCACTTTTCAACTTACTACCCCAGCAAATCTTCTTAGTATCATCTCATTACAAGAATTCTCAAGTATATTAAGGAGTATTTTAAAAACGGGCTTTTCACACTAGAAGCCTTCATATGAATCAGTGGGTATGTTTGGAATGCCCACATCTCCACAGTAGAAAAATTGAGAAAAGCTCACTTAAGGGGCGTGGATAGCATTACAAGCAGCATGCACTAGAGTTAGAGATATAGTTTAGGTATCTCCCTTTTTAGTATTGTTTGAAAAAATACGTGCAGACGAGCTTCCTAATTTTGAATGTCTATATTTTGAAATAAATTACTTGCTCTTCAGAGTTAAATTTATTCTATTTTCAAAGATTTTAAAAATTATTAATACTCCTTTTTAACATAATCATCATATTCAAATTTTCACAATGAGAAAGCACTATATAAATGTTTAGAAAATTTCTGTTACTTAATCTGAAACGTTGAAGCTGTGGTGGTAAATGCCATAAGGTCTAAGATATACTGTATTTTCTATACACTTGTCATGCTAACTACTCCATGGTATTATGTTATTATTCTTAGCTTGAAGCCATTGTTCCATGTTTTTATAGATGGAACTTGTACAGAGGCTAAAACAAATCCTATGTGTTCCATCCCCATCACTGCACGAGCTGAGTGTGACTGCACACACCTGTAATTCTAGTCCTGGGGAGATGTAACAGGAGGAGCAGAAGTTAAAGGCCTGTCTGAGCCACCTACCAAGTTCTGAGATCAGCCTGGGCTGCATGAGAACCTAATAAAAGAACGTACCCTTGATATTGGCAATAATTTAAGAATAAACAGTGCTTACTGACTAATTAAAGGGAAGTTTAAAACTTAATAGATTTATTAACTACTACAATTTTTTTCAAGTACCTACATAAAATTAAGAGCTGCTTTATATATACCAAAGGCTGTGTTTTTATAAATAACTTCTGCCTTTTTCTTAGTTTCTGAAATTTTTATCTGTTCTTAAAAGGATTAGGTGTTGCTCAGTATTTATAAATGTCTGTTAGGTAGTTCACTTCAATAATCGTGACGTATCAATGTAAACTGTGTGTTTTGCTGTTTTTCTGCACACATGCTGGTTCTTCCTTTATGTATGTCTGTGACTTATACTCACACATCGCAGATAATTTTCTAGTCTTCCTGAAAGAGCAGTATGATGATTTCTCTAGGTCTTGACCCGTGGAAAGCTGTTTTCATATATCATCTACCTTATTTATTCCTCAGAACCACCTTTAGACACAATTCCCATTTTTCAAATGGGAAATCTGAGACTTAGAGCAGTTAAGTTACTTCTGTAAAACACATTGAGTGGAGGACATAGTTCTTCACTCCAAAGCCAGTGTTGTTAACTTGGAAAAGCTCAGTTGCCGAGGTAGGCTTTTGATGCTGTGACTGCTAGAATGCTGGCAGTCCTGTGACATGGTGATTGTCTATGATGAGTTAACCTAGCAGATCTTACATCCACATCTGGCCACATTTAGAACATTTGCTCTACTCAGATCTTAGGGTAGCATTCTGCCAGATAAGACTTGAGCTTATCTGTTTATTTTCTGAAATATTTGGCATTTGTCTTATTTCAGGGGAAGTAGAAAATATTTATTCAATTGATCCTGAAATGATAAGTAATAAATATTGTGATTTCCTTAATATTTATGCTATATTAATATAAATATGAATGTTCTTGGCAAACTCGGTGTTTGGATATCATACTATTCTTGTCTTTGGTATATATTATCAACCTTAATTCTCAGAAAACTACTTTATGTCTTCTTTGTTAATGAAAACACTGAGGCTCAGTGAGATGGACTTGTCCAAAATCACACTTGTGAAGAGAAATGGAGGCAGGATGTCAACCTTGGTCTGTTAAAGAAACCACAGATCTTCATTGTGCTCACCTGGAACACACTCTTTTTAGGATTGAAGATGCTGTAAACACAACTGGGAAAGCTGTAGAACATAACACTTAGGGTCCTTTCCAAAATTTCCAAAATTTTTAGAATTGCTACTTCATCCATACAAAGAGATATGGTCATTTAAGTTGTGAAAAACAATCCACTGAAAGATTCTAGAATAAATATTCATATTTAAGTGGCTAAATTGTAGTTCATATTGTTTTATATGGCACAATGATTTCACATTGTTAGGTTTTTTTTTTACTGCTGTAGACTTTCCATTGTCTGTTTTCCTTATTCTTCTTCTCTCCTTTTCTTCATGTTGGGGATCTTTCTTCTGCTGCCTCCTTCTGTCACTTAAAAGGAAAATTCCACCTAAACGGTAATCTTGCTGTGCAGTACAACCTTTTAGCATTGTTTGCACTAACCTATACATCTGTTTTACTACTATGTCTATTTAGAAGGGGATTTTAATTGAGTGTATTTATACAAACTGTGTATATAAGAGGAATATTGAAAAGTAAATGTATAAATTATAACTAGTTCACTAGAGACTTTTTTTTTTTTTGGTCATCAATGCAATTAAAATTGTAATTAGTATTTTTTTGCTTTTTTTCTAGCCCACCGAGAAAACACATTGTGGAGCGCAACACGGAGTTTTATCACATCCCCACTCACAGTGATGCCAGCAAGAAGAGGCTGATCGAGGACACTGAAGACTGGCGCCCACGGACTGGAACAACTCAGTCTCGTTCTTTCCGGATCCTTGCACAGATCACCGGGACCGAACATCGTGAGTAAACTCTAGAAATCTTAGGAGATGCATGTTTTTGGCTCTGATAGCAACATCTAAGCTTATCAGCAGTTATGGAAAAACGGTCCTGGCAAAGACTGCATGTAAATTAATTTGTATATAGCAAGATTTCAGGTCGGGGAGTTGCATTGAGAAGAGGGGGTGTACTAGCCTTGGTATGTAGCCAGTGTAAACATGGTATGGATTTGTTTTAATTGCTCTATGTAGTTTCAACATTTGACATTGATTCATAATTATGATAATTATGTAAGTGATTTTGAAGTTAAAGAACTGAAAAGTTAATTTTGGATCTTATTTAATTGCAGTGAAAGAATCTGAAAATGACAATACAAAGAAGGCAAAGTAAGTTCTCTTTTAATGAATGGAATGCTTTCTTTTCATGAATGGTCTCAATTTGTTGTTTTCAAACTTTCAAGTGTAATGTTACAGTTTTGTTGTTTTTGTAAATAGAAACTAAGCATTTAACCCATGGTGCCTTTAGTGTGACCTACACATGCAACCTACAGATTTCCAAATTAGTTGATACTGTCCAGATTTTATGTCTAAAGCATATTCGCTTTAATATTGACATAATGAATGGGTACAGGGCATTTGGATGATGTTTTACTAACAGTATAAATCTCCTTGATCGAGTTCCTGAGTTGTCTTGAACTCTCTTTATTTGGTGCATAAAAGAATATTTCCAAGAGGACTCTGTAGATTAATTTCTGTATTTCCAAAAACTCTCTACTTTTAAACACTGCTATTTTTAACATAACAGCTGTCTGAAATTAAGCTTTTACAAGGCATGTTTTCTGCATGGTTGGAATTAGTATAGAATCTTTTTCTTTCACCTTCTTATGACTCTTCTATCACTCTTTTTTTATTTCCACAGGGAAAAGATACCCCTTCACGTCTTTAGTCCCAAATATACAAAATTACGTGACTGGCACCATGAAGTTTCAGCACGTGCTCTTAACGTACAGTGACTATGAGCCTTGCTTCCCCCACCCAAGCAGCCAGCACATACCTTTCATTCACCTTTTCTTTTTTCAGTTTCATAGCAGTATCTGTTTTACATTTATCTCATGAAAACTAGAACATTTCTATACTTTCCTAACAATTTCCAATTGTGAAAATAAGAAGAAAGGACAGGTTTTGTCCTAATTGGTAGCTTACAAATGCAAAACAAAGTAAGAACAGGAAGTAACTAGACCCCTTCAGTGTATTTACACCTATTGTCACTGTTTCGGTAATGATTGTGGAGCAGGAAGTCTTTTTGTAAGGTTTATCTGGTTCGTCGGTTGAAGCAGAGGTAGATGAGCAAATAATGTCCTTGTCTAATTAGGAAAGTGATTTCCTTACATTATTACCTTTCCCAAGTTTACTTTCAAGTTCATCATTAAGGAGTGTTCAAAGTTGATTATAAATTCTCCTAAGAGAGCAAATGTGAGGAGGCGGAGTCATCAGAGAAGACTATTGGAGCTCACTGTGGACTTGGGTGTCTTTAAAAGCCTCCTGCTAAGGTGACTACAGAAAGCATACTCTGCCCTTGCTTGCAGTGGGGAACCACAGTATTCTTTTACTTTTAGTTAAGTTTAAAGATCCTGTCATCTTCTGAAGGAAATGTATGTAAGCTGGTGGGTGTTTTCATGGACTATCCAATTTCTAGGTGTAAGACATGTAGAAGATAGCTTTGCTTCATCTTTATGTTGGAGGAAAATAGTATAAAATGAGTTTCAATTTAAATGTTTCTGGTACTGGAGGAATATTTTAGTGTTATAAACTACTGTGTGTTGCTGCTATTCTTACAAAGCTGTATTTTGAGCAGTACAGGGAAATGCAATATCTAATTATAACTGCTTTCTGCCTTGTAATATAATATACTATATATTAGATCTAAACTCAGTGATAAATACATTTTGAAGTTTGGAAAGAACTGTAATAAAGTTGTCTGTACCTTACTTCTGTACTTGTTTCTTTGAGGCTAGTGACCTGCTGTCCAGGGCTGGTTAAAACATTGCTTCAGGAAGATGAGTAACTACCTTGTCTTTTCTTTTGGAGAACATTTTCAATTCATGAAGTTACCGAAATGTGGAAGTAACACATGGCAAAAATCCAGACTCCCCTTTTGTCCTCCGGAGTTGTTCGTTATTTAAGGCAGCATCTTATGTGAACAATATATAACTGGTCTTCCTGTGACACAGCCAAGAGTCCTTCCTTGTACAACAGTGATTACTGGGGATCTGGTCTACATTCAAAGATCAATTTTTACTTTTCCCAGTGTTCTTTACTTCTGTGTCACCATAGACTAGAAAGAAGTATGTGGATAAGTTGAAGCAACTAACATTAATTTTCAGTTAGTGATTTGTTATTATGCAACAGTTGGCCTGTCAAATGCACTTGAAAATAGTTGTAGGATTTAGTTGCCCCCCCCCCCCAATGATATGAAGGGCATGAAGGATGTCCTCTTATTGAAGCATTTCCTCAGATATTCGAAGGCTTGCCTACTCGTGCTTTTATTATCCTGACTTTAGACCCAGTTTTTACTGCGTCTCTATCCAATGGAAGAAACTATTTCTTTTCCCACTTTTCTGTGCCTAGTAATGATTCATTATTTGAAACACAGTATCTGAAAGAAGATTGAGTTAGAGTCACTTAAAAATGATGTATCAGAGTAAGGATGGTATCTTCCCACCAAAATCCAGTTTTCTTGAGTAACTATAGAATTTGATGAACCATTAGAAAGAATTTTAGATAAATAAAACATTTTTTCTAATATAGACAAAGAATATGTGTAGAACTTTTTTTTTTACTTGAAATAGACGGTGTTGAAAAAAGAGTTGAGTGCCTTGCCTAATGTCAATAGTGTTTATTTAATATATTGTCGAAAGTGGAGATGACTGAAATGATCTGCATGGGAGTGGGAATCAGCGTCCAGCCAGCATCAAGAAGATGTTCCAGTTCGTCCTGCCAGAACTTGAATTCCTGAGTCCAGTGACTCTTCTGGGAGAGTGTATATTCTTAGCTCAAAATATAGGCAGATATTATAAAAGTTGACAAAAAGTATTTTGTAAGGATAGTTATCTGATTTATGACTTGTTTGTCCTTCTTATACAGACTTCATCACAAGCTTATTTTTAATATGAAATTGGGAACTTACTCTCAAATGATTCTCAACATATTTTCCCATAATTTTTACTATTCAGAATATGGATGTGTCTTACACAGTCATATACTTTTGTTACCTCCCACATATATTACTCTTGTGATCAGGTTCATACTCATTTCATTATCATTATGCCTTTTAAGAAAGCTCAAATATATATATCTGATATATATATATATATATACATATGTGTATATCTGATATATTTATACATATATGTGTATATCTGATGTATATATACATATGTGTATATCTGATATATATGTGTATATATCTGAGCTTATATAATAAAAGTCATTATATTAGAATACAGAATAGCTAGTCCATTTTTTTTCATTCAAAAGTATAGAATTAGGTTTTTAAAAATAATTTGTTTATTTTTATTTTATGTGTATTATTGTTTTGCCTGCATTTATTTCTGTGTGAAGGTGTCGGTCCCCTGGAACTGGAGTTAGAGACAGTGGGTTCTGGGAATTGAACCCAGGTCCTCTGGAAGAGCAGTCAGTGCTCTTAATCATTGAGCCATCTTTCCAGCCCTAGAATTGGGTTTTGTCCAGACAAGTAATTTTACACTTGCTTTGTTTTTTATATGATTCATGACCACTCACTCATTGGTTCATTCATTCTGTGTTCATTCTTTCAAATGAGTAATTATTTGAATGTCAGGCACCAATCTGTATGCTGTGGATACCATAGTAAACAATGGGTAAACATATAAACAGGATGATCCAAGGTAATTTTATTACCAGATAATAAAGTAGGCTAATATAAAACAGATTTGGCGTAGGCAGGGCAAGATTGCTGTAGATTATCTGGCAGTCTGAACTCAGCCTTGATGCTGACTCTTTGTAGGGAGTAAGAACTAGGCTGTGTGATGATCTCAGGCAGAGCTCAATGCAAAGGAGCCAGGTGGAGAACAGTGTGGCAAGGCTGTAGATCAGAGAGCACAGTGCAGCTGAAATGCATAGAAGAAACAGATCCATAATTCTTAAGCATGTAAGCAAACAGTTTTTATTCGGAATTTAACCGCTTGAGTAAAATTCAAAATGAAGAATCAGTGCATTGGGGAGGGGGTTTGCCAGCTTGTTAAATAAAGTGCATACCTAGTAGTCCAGTCCTGACTACTGTCAATTTATTATTTTTTCTATTGAGATTCAGTGAAGATTGAGATAGGGAAAAAGGCTTACTGTACTGTCTTTGTGGCATGTAGGGAATATAATATGCTATAGAACATAGATAAAACAACAAAGTTTGAATGTCTAAAACTTGGCCTGTGATACAGGATTCATAATTTTGCTGGTAGGTTTAATGATTCTGTTTTCTCTGTGAAAAGCTGGCTTGATTTATCTCATCCATTAAAATTTCATGATGCAATTAACTATTTCCTTGGTGATTCCTTGCAAAAAAGGCATCGTATCTTTTATTGTCATTAGAAATAGTGAGAAACAGCTCAATAAAGTCTGGGTTTTATGCTCAGATTTGTAGCTGGCTGAGTTTCTACCTCTGTGGAGGACCTGATAGCTGCTTCTGGATATGTGTGAGCCAGGCAACATTACTCTGTGATTCACCAGCTCCAACATTCAGTGAGCTGATTCTGTTGATATGGGGAAGAGGAGATTAAAAAGCCTAATCATTTCAACATACTTAGAGACAGCTCATAATAGCTGTTGTATCTCCAGGACTGCTGTGGCTGGTTACCTGAGGCTGCCTTCCTCCACAACAGCAGTTCACCCCTGTTGAGTCCCTGCTACCAGGCCCCTCCAGTTCTTGAATTAAGAGGCACTTCCTAGTAAGCACCTTCCATGCTAAACTCTGAAAGGCGGTCACCAGACTTGGTTACACAGTTTCAACAGCATGGTCCTTTTACTAATCTTCTCATCATTTTTGTCTTCAATTTCTTTTCCTTTCTCCTTGATCTTCAACACAGACCACAGCCACAAGATTAAAGGAAGTCTTTGAAGTAAAAGATTAGTTACTGTGCATGAAAGTTAAAAGGAAGATTGTTTACTTTTTTTTTTTGCCTTGAAATAAAAGTGTTTCTTTGTTGATTACATTATAGGCCATCTAGACTTAATGAATGGGTCTTGTAGTTAGAGCTGTGTCAGTGAAGCAATAAAGGAAGAACTCTTAAAAGGAAAATCATTGAGTATGTGTAATGCATATCTAAAATATTAGTTTGAATGTTGTAAATGTA